CACTGCATCAGATTTTCCATTCTCTGCCAGGAAAATCCCCCAAACCAAACTAAACCAAGTTTGGAAAATAAGCCTAGCAATTTTCTTCAAGTGTGGCAGGGTAGGTCACAAGCAGGATGGCAATGACCACAAGTCTAACCCTGGCCCTGCCCAGACATCAGAAGGCCCATAGAGGTGGCCCATATTTATATTAGCTGTGGAAGAGGCACGCTGCATGGCTAACTGAACCCGTAGGAAAAAAAATAACTCAGTGAATGAGTCATCATCTTATCCAGGCAGAGACCTTTTAAATGAAAAGACTGGCATATTAGCTGACCAGTGTACTAACAGGAATTTGGAAGAACACAACAAAGTAGATGTAAGCGCTTCCTCCATAGATACCAAAAGTAGTGCCATCTGACCTACCAGAAGGGAGTAGGCAAGATGTGTGTGGGGAATGACAGGATGCTGCGAGTTGGGGGATGAAAGGAGCTTCCAAACAGAAGGAATAGGTGTGTGGCTCTTCATCAGTTCTCTAGAGGAAAATGTACGAGTCTTAACAAACTAACGCTTTGTTGCTCTGCTCTACTTCCCTGATTTCTCCTTTTTCTCTAATTTCTAAGGAAGAGTCTATGTTTTCTTACATAGCATCAAGGCCTAGTAAAAGACAATCAGGATAACTGGGAAAAGGATTGTCTCAATAAAAGAAGTGAGAGTATTTAAAAGATTTATATTGGAAAAAGGAGAAATCACAAGCAGGAGAAAGATATAGTAGAGCTGAGCTTTGTGAAGGGGTACAGTGGGAGGAACAGCTGTCGTCCACATGGAGGGTGGAGCAAAGAGGCAGAGATGGGGTGGGGAGGCTTAAAGTACAATCACTATTAGTACTGTACTTCCTCCCTTTGGGTATTTGCTAAGAGACTGATTATAAATTAGAATTCTGATTCTAGTTTTCCTTTCGACTTTTGTTTCTTCAAATACGATTCAAATTTTCCAAGGACTGTTAGGTAAGGAAGTAAGTATCAAGATGTAACCCAGTGATTATCCTGAGTTCTAAACATTAGTCCCTGTTCTATTCTGGAACAGCAACCTTATTTCCTCTTGTTAACTGTGATAATTCACCCAGGGCACTATTGTGATCTTCACCTTCTCTACCTGATGGTTCAGCAGCATGAGAAATTCAAAATATCCAGAGAATAATCTGAGCTTCCAATTTATTGGAAACATGATGATGTTTCCTTGTGAAGTATGCTTCTCTTAGGCACTATGACCTTCAATCTCATTGAACCATACTCTTGGGGGCAGGAAGCAAAAATTCTTCTACTGTATTAAGAGTAATTGCAAGAGGGGCCACTTGCATTTCCATGCCTTAACTCTCAGATCTATACATTCCATCTAGGGAGCCTACACTGGCATTGACTACGGATTTAAGAAATACATCTCATCCTACAGGAATATCACTCCCCTCTCACAAGGTGTTTTCTCCTTGTTTGCACTATAGCTGAGGCTTCAGAAGGCCATTTCAATGTTTTGTCAAGCCAGCTACTTCTGGACGAGGCATGTGGTAAAAACTAGTGAGTTCTGACGTTGTGGGCCCACTGTCAAGAAATGTGGCCCTAGTCACACAAGATATATATGGAAGAAAATGACAGCTGATAAGTCATTCTACAAATTTATGAATAATGCTGCTTGTGGAAGCACTGCAGACACTGAAGACAAATTCCTAACCAGAACCAGCCTTGGCAGAAAACCCATGCCTCTATCCCTGATGCTATAGTCACTGTATACATGATACAATGAGCAAGCACTGAGTATCTAAAGAAAGATAACTGTTATCTACTGGGTAGGTCATCTTACCTAGTTATCTATTGAGAACCTCTTCAGTAATGGATTACCTCTGCCGAGCATTACACAAAATACAAATAGTGCCACACTCTGTACCTTTCCAGAATTGCCATCACACATATCCAACCTCCAAATCTTTTTCAATTTTTCAATTTTCCATTAAAAAAAGTTTTCTTTCCAAGTCCCTGACAAGCCAAGTAACTTGTTAGCCACTACCAACACTACCAGTGTAGATCTGTTTCTCAAGTCAGCTCTCCTTCCACGTGCAGTGGAAAAATAGACAAATATACTAGGATGTTCTCTCTGCACCTTGAGTGGGACTGTAGTAAAATATCTATCCATTTCCTTCCATTCTTGCACTGAAGAATGGTGTCTCTGTGCATCAGAACAAGCAGGACTGCCCATCACCCAGTCACTAGAGATTCAAAGTAAAATATTAAAACATTAGAATATTCTAAGCCAGTCATGGAATTGTGTTTTCCTTACCAGGATAAGTAATGAAATTTTAATTAATGAGACTTAAGAGAATTACGTTAGGGACTTCCTGGAAATGAATCCTTCTCCTAAAAAGTTATATGTAAAAAGAAAAGACCTTTTTTGCCTCTGAATACTGTTGTATGCATGTGACATCTGAATCTAAAGCAAATATCTTCAGAAACTAAAGGACACTAGCTTAAGACTACAAGCTAACAAACTGAAGATCGAACAGTGGAAAGACGGAAAGAAACTGGTTCCTAGATAATGTCCTTGAGCCACTGAGTGATCCATTCTTGGAATGGCTAAATGTAAGAGTAACTCTAGACTCTTTGCTACCACCGCGACACTGGCATCATCTGAGATTTTATTAGAACTACAGAATCTCAAGCTCCACCCAGTTCTACTTAACCAGAATCTGCATTTTAACAAGATTCCCAAGTGATTCATAAGCGTATTAAATTTGAGAAATATTTTCCAAGACAAAATTTTTAGATGTAGTTACTAGCACATGGAATTGACCAGAAGTAAACAGACTGGAAGATTATTAAATTCTTAAGGGAATTGTATTCCCATTAGGTTCTCTATTACTTGCTACTCATTGATAAGGAGGGATAGCTTTTGAATGAAAGAGGCTTAAACATATTTATGATCTCTTTTTTCTTTTTTGGTGTAGTAAATGTATTTGGATTATACAGTATGAAAACTATAAGCATTAGCGTTCAAACTTTGAGCACTGTAATTCTTAAGATGAGGAAACACATGTAGAGGCTTTGGAACATACAATGTTTAAATAACTGCTTAAGAAGGCAATAAATATCACATGAAAGGGGGCATGATTAACAAATGAAAGCAATTCAGTGTCATTCAGGTACTACATAGGTAGTACCAGGGATAAAAATATGAATGGCATAATCCTTGCCTTAAGGAAACACACAGTCTAAAACAACTGTAAGCCAGGTCACAGATCAAAATAAGTAGGACCAAACGAAGGATATGCTTTTGATAGTATTTGGCATATACATCCCCAAACAATAAGTAGAAGCATCACGGTGGGCTTTTTTTTTTTTTTTAACTTTCCAGCATACTTTCCCCTTCTGCTAACAGCACCACAAATTTCCTTTGAGGTGCCAACTCTCCCCCATTTTCCATGCATGCGGTTCAAGTTAAGCTACACCACTGCTCCAGGCAAGAAGAGAGAGATACAGGCCTGGCCAATCAGAACTCCTATAAAAGATTACAGTATTGTTTCCAGCCAACATCTCCACCCTACTCCCAACTCCCACAAGAACAGTATATGTACATGCCTTTGCCATACTATTGACAGCTGAGGTGTTGCCCTGTAAGTGGAATACACTGGAGTGGAATAAATCACTATCCAGAGTTTTAAGTCTGGGAAACCAGAAAAATGATTCCATTCGTAGTGATAGAGATGTCAGTAAATGAGCATTTGGAAAGGAAGATGAAGAATTCAATTTTGGATAATGAGATTTAATTTAAAATAATACTTATTATTTCTTTTCGATTATAAAAGTAATGCTTGGTTTTGTAGATAATTCTGAATATCAGGGAAAATGGAAAGAAGGCATTTAAAATAACCTGTTAACATTTTGATATATTTCCTTCCAAACACATTTTCCCCCTCATACATAAATACATAAACCAAAGTGGGATTCCATTTTACACACATTCTTGTATCCTGCTGTTTTCATTTGACCTTGTGAATATCCCAATGTAAAAAACAAACAAAAAAACAACTTGACTATGTAACTCTTCACTTAATGACAGGTTTCTTCTATTTTTACAATTACAAATATAACTATTAATAAGAATATTTATATTGAAACCTGAATATTTAACTAATTTCTTAAGACAAAAGTCTAGAAATTAAATGATCAGGCCACAACAAGTATGAACTACTCTAAGGCAATGTAGATATGCACAGTGATTTCTCGAGGTCTTTGAGGTAAAATGTCTACAAGAATATAGGTATGTAACACCTTTTTCCCTCACAATAAATATTTTCTCAAAAACGACATATATACACAGACATAGACACTCATGTGCGTATCGGGGCAACTCCATTAAAGAGTCTTTAACACAATAGTATAAGGGTAAGCTTTCCATCAGGATACAGAAGCCGAAAGTCAGCATAAGTTTTCTTTCTGGACCAGATGGTCATTATAGGCAGAAGGCCAGCACAGTGAGGTTTTGTACCATGTAAGCAAAGAAACATTACTCAACACATGTAGAGAAAATGCAGCCAGAAAAGAGGGACATTTCTTTTAAGACAAGAGTAAACTTCTTTCAGGAAAAAAATAAGTTACTCTAAAAAATTAAGAGATTAACTAAATACTCTTATGCATTTCTCAAGAGGATACTGCATCTATAAAACTATATCATGTAGTTATAAAAAACAAAGAACCTGCGCGTCTGGAGCCTGTGCTCCGCAACGGAGAGGCCACAACAGTAAGAGACCCGCGTACCGCAAAAAAAAAAAAAAAAACAAAGAACCAGGGGGCTTCCCTGGTGGCGCAGTGGTTGAGAGTCCGCCTGCCGATGCAGGGAACACGGGCTCGTGCCCCGGTCCGGGAGGATCCCACATGCCACAGAGCAGCTGGGCCCGTGAGCCATGGCCGCTGAGCCTGCGCGTCCGGAGCCTGTGCTCCGCAACGAGAGAGGCCACAACAGTAAGAGGCCCACGTACCGTAAAAAAAAACAAAAACAAAAAACCCAGCAATTTCGTATGGACAAATAAGTGAAAACTGAGAAAACAAGTATTAAGAGCAACTCACCGAAGGTGTTGCGTGCGGTGCCAACTCTCAGGTTCCACGGAGTCCGAGCCTGCGCCGCGGTGTATGCTGGGCCGGTAGCGGGCGGGGCCTAGGCTCCCATCACGGCTGTGCCCGTAGGCTTTTGGTTTCTGACTCTGGCCTTCCCTGCGTATCTGTGCAGCTGCTGTCTACAGAGACCAAGCGGGCAAGTTTGGAGACAGCGGTATTTGGGGAAGCTCAAGTTTGCCGTCCTGGAATTTTTCCTGGATCTAAAATGTTGGTTTTAGCCACAGAGAAGAACGAAGTTGCAGCGTTAAATTCTCAGACTGGGTAGATAATCTGGTGCTATGTTGATAAGGGCACCCCAGAGAGGACTCTGGACGCCATGCTGCTCCAAGAACTGGATGCAATCACTGGATCGGATGGAGGCCGAATCCCGCGTTGTTGGGAGACTAAAATTAGGGGCCCGAAGTGGGAGATTATCTTGGACAATGGCAGTTTCCAGGCAGTTGGGCTGGTGGGTCTGCAGGAGTCAGTGAGGTCCCTTGCAGTTCTGAAGACCACTCTTGCCCACCATCACCTCTCTGGTGGGCATTTAAAGTAACCGAAAAAAGAAAGAGAGGGAAACAGGGAAGAGGAAGGAGAGAAATATTAGAGTTACAGAGAACAGATCTAGATGATTGAATATTTATATAATAGGAATCTTCGATATCAATAAACCAACAAAACAGACTCTCTGAATCAAGAGAGTTCACTGGGAACCAGAAAAACCTTTATTAATGCATGGCGTGAGCCCGGATTGGATATTGAATTAGAAAAGTTATAAAGTACATTTTTTTAAAATTAGCATTTGAAACAAATATTAGATAATATTATTGTATCAATATTAAATTGTCTGCATTTGATAATTGTATTATGGGGATGTGAGAAGTCCTTGATCTTAGTAGATATGTACTGACATATTTAGGAGCGAAAGGTCATGATGTCTGTAACTTTCAAATGGTTCAGCAAAAAATAAACGACTGAGAGAAAGAACCTGCAAATACGGCAATATATCAATTGATGAATTTAGGTGAAAGGTATAGAGTTGTTTATTGTATTCTTGCAACTTTTCTCTAGGCTAAAACATTTTAATATAAAATTTAAAAACATGAAAAAAATTGAAAGATAATGCTGGGATACCAAGTGAAAAGCTTAAAAGATTAAAAAAAAAGGTTCTGTAAATATCTAGGAAGAAAACAAGCAAACAGAAGCAAACTCACAGTGATTAACATCTGCCATATACAAGGAGAAAAAAAATGGAGCATCATATCAAATGAGCATACAGAAGCTTAGAAAAAAATATCCTTCCTCAGATGGGGGTGGGAGAATGTCTCCAGCCAACTGAGAAGTAAATGGTTACAAAATAATTCAAGTTTGAGAGTCAAAGAATGGGGAAAAATACTTTTAACAGAAAAGATAACATATAAAACACTATCTAAGAATCTGTTGGTCTTGTCTGATTTTCTAATTCAGCTGGGTTCAGTATAATTAATTAACATTTCCTGAAAACTACCTTTCTTTCCACATTTTAAATTATTTTGCTTAGAAACCACATCTGGTGTGTATCCCTCAAAGCATTCCCATTTTTTGTGTTTGGATTTTGTGTCTTTATTTGGTTTGTGAAAGAGTGCTTAATTCTTAGCTTTTTCAGATACTCCTATCTCCTGAATAAAAGTGGTGATAGTGGGCGCTGTTATCTTTTTCTGAACATCAAACGTAATGCTGCAAGATTGGCACATTAAATATAGCATTTAACAAAGTTATTTTCCATACCAGCTCACTAAAACAGCCAAAACAACTTCTCAAAATATGCAGTATTTTAAGTTGTTTTCAGAGGAATAGTTAATGAGATTATACATTTCTTATTTTGTGGTTGTAGATACTTTAAAATTTTTGAATTATTTTCTGTGTAAAATGTATGTATATGACAACATTCTGAAATAGTTTGCTTAGTACTATTGCTATATTTTATAACTTTTCCATGAAAATAAGACATTTAGTTTGAAGAAAATAAGAAAAAGTCAGAAAATTATCATCTAAATAATGACAGACTTTTTTTGGATCGTTGTGTTTGATTGATGATTCCAATGACTTGTTAGCTTTCAACAAAAAGTCCATTGTAATAGAAAAATAAATATTGTTGAAAAAAATTTCTACGCCCAAGATGGAGCTGCTCTTGCTCAGGGTGCCACATCAACCAGGTGAAAGATAACTTTCATGTCCCTGTAAATGCTCCACTTGATCAGAAGTGCAGTATACTCAGTCAGCCAATCCCCAGATACGAAGCTAACTCTGGGCCTTCTCACCCCAAACGATGTTAACTATGTGACCCCAGCCAATCAGATACTTTCTATTTATCTCTTCCTCATTCTTTATGACCTATGCTATAAAAGTTTTTTTCCTTCTGCCCCGTTTTGCAGGCTCCCAAAAGGTGACTATCTGCTTCATGTATAAAGTTTGTTTGTATCACCTAAATTGCTTTCTTTAATCATTTTTTAACAATACCTATACAAAAAATTTTTCATGAGAAACGTAGGCCTTAAGACTTCAGAAAATAAGATTTTTTAAAAGATAGTTGAGGCTGTTTTTAAGACTGATGGCATGCTTAATATTAAAAAGAAAATGTTTACAGTTAAAAAATATAAGAATGCAGAAAATGAAATAGAAAATATTGAAATATTAATTTTTATTTAAGATTAACATTCAGAAAGTGATAAAATATTCATATTAATTACACTCATGTATGAGAAAATACTTTGAGAAATTGATATTCTAATACTATGTAAATCTAATATTTTATGATTGAATAAATTCCAACCTTACCAGATAGAGCATAGCAGATGAAATAGAATAGAATAGTGTCTAATCTGCAAATGCCATGAGTAATACCTCACACTTCCAAGTTGTAGGTATCAGGATCTTTAAGATCAGAAGCACTTTTTATGGCATAAAATAAAATCTTAAAATAAGATAAAAACAGTGAAAACAAACGGACCAGTGTTAACTGTAAACTTTTCCTGGAATAGAGTTTGTACATTTCTTAAATATTCCTGTGATAGGTAGAATAATTTTCCCTCAAAGATGCCTACATCCTAATCTATAGAACCTGTGACTATGTTAGGTTACAAGGCAAAGATGAATTAAGATTATGAATGGAATTAAGGTTTTTAATCAACTGACCTCTAAAATGGGAGATTGTCCTGGATTATCTGAGTGGAGCCATTGGAAATATTGAGGTTCTGAAAACATGGAAGAAGTCAGAAAAGGGACCAGAGTCAGAGAAAGACTTGATGATGCTATGCTGCTGGCTTTGAAGATGGAGAAAGGGGCCAGAAGCTAAGGAATGTGGTGACCTCTGGAATCTGGAAAAGGTAAGATAATGGATCTTCCTTATAGCCTCCAGAAGGAATGCACCCTGCTGACATCTATATTTTAGCCCAGTGATACCCATTTCAGACTCCTGACTTCCCCAACTATATAATAAATTTGTTTTCTTTAAGCCATGAAGTGTGTGATAAATTGACACAGCAGCAATGGGAAACTGATATAACTCAACTTCTTTAAATGTATTAAGATATCCTGCAAAGACCAGCTAATGTTATAATTAAAGACATTTCAAACTGGTAAATTTGTATATAATGGAGGCATCAACTTTCTGCATTCAAATCAAATTTACTTGGTTAGATATTGTTTTCAAGTTTGATTCATAAATTACTACCTATGCTCTCTTTCCATATGAAAATCTAGTCAAGAAAATAATACTTTTTTCAGGCTCCTTCTCATGGGAACATCTTAAATGGGTTACTGCTGGTTAAATTGGACATGAGCCCTTTAAAAGAAGGTAAGAAGAGTGCATCTAAAGAGCTATAATTTTGGGATTTCACCATGAAAATTTGTCATTAACCAAGGAGTCAAATAATATATTTTTTAAATAAATTTATTTATTTATTTTTGGCCTGTTGGGTCTTCGTTGCTGAGCGCGGGCTTTCTCTAGCTGCAGCGAGTGGGGGCTACTCTGCATTGTGGTGCATGGGCTTCTCACTGCGGTGGCTTCTCTTGTTGGGGATCATGGGCTCTAGGTGCACGGGATTCAGTAGTTGTGGCTCGCAGGCTCAGTAGTTGTGGCTCGTGGGCTCTAGAGTGCAGGCTCAATAGTGGCACACGGGCTTAGTTGCTCCGCGGCATGTGGGATCTTCCTGGACCAGGGCTCGAACCCATGTCCCCTGCATTGGCAGGCAGATTATTAACCACTGCGCCACCAGGGAAGTCTCAATACTTTTTAAAAAGATAAAAAATTTCACTTAGTTTAAAATTTCTGAACCAGAGACTTCACTATTCTACTAGGTTAATACTTCTGAGAGTTCAATAAATTATTTTAGGAAAGAGTAAAATGGTCAAAATTATGTTTTAGAAAAATAAGAAATAGCAATATAGGAAACAGTTTGGACTTCCAGACAAGATGATTCTGTAAGTTCATGCTTTTGGGTAACTCCATGGTTCCAACCACAAAAAGATGATATATAAAGTTAAAAAAAATAAATAAAGATTCAACCTGGCACAGAAATAAGATACTCTTCCCAACTGACCACACAAACAAAGCAGAGTAGACAGAAGCAATTAGCCCACTGAAGTCAAATTCCAGAGAAAGCAAAGGTAGCTGGGATTCAGCTTATGCAGGGAACTGGGATTAAAATGCTTCACATTTGGTAGGAAGATTTCTTGAAAACAGAGGATATTGTGGATTCCAAGATGTTGATGATACAGAGACTGGAACTGTGCTTTACATACAACTTCAACCTTAGAGAGGCAGCTGAAAATACACACAGTATCACAAGAAAACTGGAAAAAACTGTTTGGGGACTGGAATGCAAGGACCCCAATAGAACCTTGGTGCAGAAGGCATTTCAGGATTTGGTATCACAGGAAATGAAAAACCATTAGATAGGGGTGAGGAGAGAAATTGTGAGAGTGAAAGCAAGAGCAAGAGTGAGCAAGAGAGGAGGAGGAGGAGGAGGAAGGGAGGGGAGGGAGAAGGGGGAGGGAGAAGGGGATGGGAGGGGGGAGGGAGGAGGAGGAAAAAATGAAAGAGAGAAGAGGAAGAAAGGAAGAGAGTACACATTAAAAAGATACCCAAAAGTATACTACCAGAAGTCAATTCACTGAGATTAAAATAATGACTAGAATAGTATGAAAAAAGTGTTTTTTTAAAATCAGTTGAGGATGCTAAAAATCTCATAATGTCCATACAAAAATAATTAGCATAAGTATACAAAAAGAACAAACCTTAAATTTTACACGAAAAAGAGTTACAAAAATACAAAAGTCTATACCTAGAATAAACTTCATATTGAACTCAGAGGAAAAACAATAGGTGAAACAAAAGGTTTCTGAGGCGTTAACTCAGAATAACACCCAGAGAAAAAGAAGAAAAGATATTTTTAGAAAAGAGAGAGGAAAAAATATTGCAAGACATGGAGGATAATCAAGAGCCTCCAATAAATAACTAATAGGTATTCCAGAGTTAAAAAGTGGTCCTGGACTG